TGGGGAGGCTCCCACTGCTGTGCACACCCCTGGGGGAGGCATGGGGGGCATGTGTCCTCCCAGATCTGTACGTTGGGTGACAGCAGGCTGCCTGCTGTGCACTATGGGCCAGGGGCTGCGCCAGCCTCGTCCAAGGGGCTGCACCAGGCTCGTCCAAGGGGCTGCACTTGGGCCAGGCAGCAGCAGGAATGGGAGGGGGGCTATGGCAAATTTTGGGGTGGCTACAGCCCCCACTCCCAGTGCCACTGCATACCCTACCCACCCCAAGCACAGCCCAGACCCAAGCACACAGTCCACCCTGGCCCCACGCACAAATCCAGGGGGCACGTGCTCTGCACACCTCCCCCAGGGATGCACACAGCAGTAGAAGCCCTCCCCCCACAAACAAGCCGCTAACTCCATCCTGCACCCTGCCCAGACACCATCTGCCCCTTTCCCCACTCCCTCCCTCACCATGGGAGCCTCAACCTGCACCCCCTTCCCTCCCCCGTGCCCCTTACCCCCAACAGACTTACCCACTGGACAATGGTCTTCAAGCTGCTGGGCTTCTCTCCTGGCCGTGTGCATGCTGCAGCTGTGCACATGCATATGGTATTTATCAGCGGCATTAATCGGTCACATCAGCCAAAAAAAGCCAATTGCCGATAATGTAAATTTTCTTTTTATAGGTGCAGATATAATATTGACTGACACACTGGTACACCTCTCGGCCTCAGGTGTTCCTTGCCAAACCATTTAAAGAACATTTTAACTTGTTTCTCGGTTTTTGGCTACAGCTGCCTTTTCTTATCAACAGAGTGAAAGATTTTGTAGTTGGGGTGAAGGCCATTTAATAATAGTTTGCATAGGCGGTGGAAGAGGGGGCTAACCAGGCTCAGCCCCCTCCAACACAGGCAGGAGGTAGGACCCCATGGCCTGGCTGCAGGCTGCTGCAGCAGGGGTGAAGGAGTGCCCACACACACATACCCTGCACAGCCAAGATCGCAGCCAGCTGAGCAGGCAGGTTAGTTTCTTTCCATTTTCTTTATCTGGGCTTCAGGGGGCAGATCAAGACCCCTGCCCCATCCCCTGCTGCACTGTGGGGATTACCCCATGACCCAGCCTGGCCAGGCCCTCATTCATGGGACAGGGCCAGGTCATGGGGCAATGGGAACCCGGCAGCTGGTTCAGGGGCACAGGCAGGTGGCTCCCGCCTCTGTGCGCACTGTAGGGGAGCCAGGGGAGGGAGCACATTTCCCCCCTCTTGGGTCCCCCGTGCCACGCCACAACCCTGGACAAGCCACGAGGCTCCAACTATTCCACAACCCGGCCTCGCCAGGGCTCTGTTCATGGTGAATGGGGTCCCGGCTGGGCCAGGTCATGGGACAATCAGAGCCTCACTGCCCAGCCTGCCCAGCGGTGGGACTTGCACGGCACCGCACCACTTTCAAAGGCAGCAGCAACACATAGAGCAGGCAAAGCACAGCTCGCACCTTTAACCTGCCTTTCCCTGTGCAAAGATCGGGGGGGGGAGGCACCCCCTTGGCTTCCTGGTGCCGTGCCCCTGGAGGAGGTGCTAGGCTCTTCCCGGGGACGACGTCATGCAGGAGCAGGGGGCCCACAGGCTCCGTCCCCTCCAGCCTGGTGGTGCAGCCGAGGCTGGCTCTGGGCTCCTCTGGGCGGTGCAGGGCTGGGGCTGGGGCCAGTGTGGGGCAGTGAATTTACAGGGGCCGTTGGCACCGGTCAATGACTCCAGGCACAGGGGTTGAGATGGGTGCAAAGGGCCCCAGCCACAATCCCAGGCCCGGCTCAGCTCCAATCCCGTCCCAGTCCCAGCCCCATTGCCCCCAACACCTCCATGGCCCTCTCTCTTCCCCCTGTAGACTTCGCTTTGGTGGGGGGGACGTGCATGCATGTGCACACATATTCAGCCCCCCCCACCAAAAAAATTGTTTTTCTTTCCTCCTTCCACCTATGGTAGTTTGTGTACTAAAATAAAAATCATCTTCCATAGGACAATCTCACCCACTTTGAAACAGGGGGGCTCAACCTCAGCCTCTCTGAGCTAGAACTATCTCCAATTCTCAGTCCTGCGCATTACAAGATATCCTAAAAATGGTTACATCAGTTCAATTCTAGAGGGAATATTCTATATATTTTAATCTGTCAACTTCAGATTTTATTTCATGAAGGCCCATAAACCATCTCGTAGGTAATGAAGGAGCCAATTTATGCTTCTTCAGGTGCTGATGATGGCTCCCACTCCCTGGTTAAATGAATCAACTGAGGAGAGGATGCAAGGGGGTCAGAATGGCTCCAGTAATTTCTCCAGGGTAGAATATTCAACCTCTTGTGGCTAGCATCATGTCTGTGGCAGACAGTTTCAAGGGGAAGAAGGAAATGAACATTTCTGGCTGAAGCATGAGGAAGTATACACAAAGCTAATTACAAGCTACTTTTAAAATCTTTCCCTTGCACCAAAATGGTGACTCAGCTTTCCCCCCTCCCTGGCATACTGTCTTCTGCAAAGTTTAAACTGCTCTTCAAACTAGGATTCTTTTTGTTTGCTAAATAAAGTAGCCTTTGGGTTAACTAGTCTTAAGGTAAAGTAGCCCTGCATTGACTCATTTGAGTGCTCTTACCAAAACTGACGCCCACACTTGCAGCGAACAGGTTTAGCATCAGGATACTGAACTTTAACAACATGGTGGCAGTCTGGGGCAGGACACCATTTTAACAATCGATTACACTAGAAAATATGAAGAAAAAGCATGGTGCAAAAATTACTAGGAAAAAGAGATACCATTTATTTTAGCCTTTCCCCTCCCAACATTGTTCTTGTGTCCTTTAACTTCAAGTATCTTCCTGTCAAACTGTCACAATGAATTTAAGACCTCCTTATTCCATGCATTTACTTCATTAACTACAGGAAGGAATGAATATAGTCTCTTTACTTTACAGTGATACTGTAGCTAGTTCTCCTTTCTGGATGTACAGAAGAACAGTTACTTTTATCTCCTGTAATTTATGTACAAAGTTATCTGGAGGACACTTTTGAGACAAGTGTTAAAGCTTTCCCACTGAAATATCATCAGTGGGACCTGTGTCCACGGAATAGGAAATTTTGTGGAACTACCATATAAATTACCAATTATCATAAATATTAAATTTAAAATCTAATTCTCTATTCTGGTAAGCATTTTTTGGGGTCAATTCCATGGGAAATGGTGCCCAGCATCATTTTTGTGACAATTGTGAAGACTCATATTTCATGGTTTCTGCAAAAATCGTGAAACCATGATTTAGTTATGTAGGCTCCTACCCAACATGTAATATACCAACTTCCTGCCATGTCTGTATTTTCCTGAGGCTACACATCGGCCTGATGGCACCTAGGACCTTTCCTAACCTTTAATAACCCTTCTGCTTTTTAACCACAGTGCAACTCCAGCACTACATTTGAACAGGTAAGTGGCCAACAAACAAGTGAGTTATGATTAGATTGCGGCTAAACTGTACAAACTATTTCTAAAAATTACTAGACAGACTAATTAGAGTAGCTAAATACTGCCCCAACCCACAACTTTGTCCCAATGGATTTCATGCAAGTTGGAAAATTTTCCTGCATCTGTGTTACCTTTTTCTGCACACTTTCAGTGATTTTCAGCTGAGGAGCCACTGGTTAAAACACACGAATATTTATTCAAAGCAATTCTATATCTTAACGCATTAAAAACTGGCCTTTGAGGTACCTGCCACAACTTCAGTGGCTTCCAGTTTCGAACCAGCCCCCTTGAGGACAGGCAACACAGCACACAAGTCCTAGGAAGCTTTTATTACCAACTGCATTTTCCTCATCTACCATAACAATGCTTTCCTAAATCTTCAGGTAACATCCCACTGCACTTCCCTCTGGCCAGCATGTAACTGATGGGGTCATGGGATTTCCCACTACTTTAGAGATGGCTACTAATGTTTCTCCCATAATAAACTGGCCATGGACTAAATGGTCTATAACAACTCACTGCAAGATTCTGCCTTGTAGTTGCAACTGATTAAGTCATCTCCTGTATAGCTGTCTGTATCTATTAAAAACTCAAGGTTTTGAAAGCTTCATTTTCCTGCCAGCTTCCTGCATACTACCATAAGCATGAGTCAATACTAGCTCATTTAGTGACAAACGCCTGCCTATTTCAAGAAAAATGCACCAACGTAAAGGGAAAAATGTCACCACTGGCTCATTTGTGCATATATATTTCTACCACGATTTAGAAATCTACACTGTCAGCAAGTACCAAGCCCACCAGCACTTGATTTATACTGAAAATGTTTACAAGTGTGCCTTATATCCGACCAGAATCAGCCCCCGTAACACCAATTCAAATCAAAAGCTTGTTCATGCCACCACTAAAAACCAAACCCTAGCAACAATGTCAAAAACTAGTAACTAACAATCCCATATGCTGGTCTGCATACAAAAACAAAAGCCTTAGGACCACATTAAATAATCTTCAGATAAAAAAAGAAAAGAAAAGACTCACCTCTACAAAACTATTAGTTATTAAATGCTGGTACTTTAATTTAACCTTTGAATCTGTGATCAGACGCCTATGGAAAGAAGAGAAATGCAGAAATTACTAAACCTGTAAGCTCATTTTACCCACATAAAAAATCCCAGCAAAAAGCCAACAACCAAAAAAAGATATTGTATAACAATTCTACCTGCTTTATTATGCTTGCTGTTACACTTTGGCTGCATCAGGATCCCCTGACCATAAACACTCACCTGTTTCCCATGTCTTTGCCATAGCCATACTAATTCCATGACTTTATTTTTAACTATACAACTTTCAGTCTTGATTCTAATTTCGGAAGCCCAAATGAAAATAATGCAGGTCAACAATATTTGGAGGATGAGACCTGGATTTTTTCTAAGTTCAGGAAGTATAGTGGATAAATCTCCCAGTTTTTAATCATATTAGATGTAGAGGTTTGTTACAACCTACTTTCAAAAGCCCCAAAACATATCTGCAGTGCTGTAACAGCACAAGGGATGCCAAAATGTTATTTGGATTTCAGTGAAAATTAAGGATTAGCTGCTGAAAAAGTTAACAGCTAATACTGCACTGTACATGCAAGGAAGAAAAAAAAAGCACCAACAGGCATAATCTGAGATCTCCCACAGAGTGTGAGAAGGAGAGAATCATTTGAAAGTTAGTAATTTCAGTTTTGCTACTGACTGGGTGATAACAGGGAGATCAGGAGGCTTGAATAGGTGGGAAGTCTTTTGGGAATATAGGGAGCATTTTTAGTTATGGACATTAATGGAAACTTAATGCTTCTGGATTTTATGCATATGGAGCTTGGGTTCAGTACATTTGAAATAAGTATATTATGTAGTATGGAAAACAACTTAAATATACCCAAAGGCACTTAACTGAATTTTCCTCAAGTGTTAGAAATTTCAACCTCTGACATTGGACTGGTACACACACCACAACAAAGAGGTTTGTCTTTATTTAAAGAGAGACTTTGATAGTACACTGGAATAAATACCCTAATGGCGCTTTTTTTTTTAAATCTGGAAGGCCACTTAGTAAGCGGATCTTGAAACTAGTGCAGGTGTTCACTTCTTTTCATGGTATAATCGGAAACAAAATGTTCTTCTATTTGAAGACACGACACCTAACTGAAATGCAGGCACATATACGATTATTCAGCTCACTACACCAAAACTGACATGTAAAAATACTGGAAGTTTCTTACCTACTGACAAGCTGAGCATTGTATAGATACAACACAAGATACTCAGACTTTAATGTTGCTAAACTAAAACATCTTCTAATCTATCCAAACCATCTACCATTGTGGACCAAATCCACAGCAAATTAACAGTTTTAAAATTAAGATGTTAAAGAATTTTTATTTTGTAACAGACCAACTTTCCTTGCCTATTCTCATCATAAAGATGAGTTTCTTAACATAATACCATTTCACTCCCCAAATTTCCAAAGCTAGAAAACATCTACTTTTGCAAAGTAAACTCTTCTATTTGCTTAGTATTTAAACTAGTTGCACAAACAACCTTTACAACTACACACCCTGCTACTGTCTGCTGGATTTGATTGCAACACTTCAAATAAAAATGGAATTTCTAGTGCTGTTCATTTCAGAATCCCCAAATCCTGCAAAGAAGGATTCACAAAACAGACACACCAAGGCAAAGAGAGTTAATACTTGCCCCAGGTCACAAGCAGTTTGGAATAAACTCTTTATTTTTCCATTCCCAGACCCTACATGTGCTTAATTAATGAGCAATGCTACACATACAGGAGGACTGACCTCACTATGCAGCTGAAAAAGCCAGCTGTTTGATAAATCTCTAATAGCAGGACCTGCTACATCACTGGAAATTCAGCAGACTGCATATACATGGAAAGGTGCAGCCACCTTGCTATAAAAAATCTTCTAGCAAGTACTCAGGATAAATATCCATTCTGTAGTAGCCTTCTTGCCATACTTTGAGGGTTAAGTGGCATGACAGCAACTAATTGCAATTGCAGACAGGCAAGGGATAAAAATAAGGCCACTGATGCTGGAGAATGAGTAGTCATGACTTCCATTCTGCTGCATCATAAATGTAACCAGAGGTTGAACAGAAGCTGAGTAGGTAGATTCTTGCAGGTTGCTGTCGGCTGCAGAGACATGACAGCAGCAGCTGTTCAGCACGAGTAATAAAGGCAGTTTGCTGTGCTTATTAATTAAATGAACAGCTCTGCACACCAGTTAAAGCAATTACCAGCAGCTTTATCAAAGGTGAGCAAGGGACAGAAGCAGATTACCTTCAGCTGGTCTGAAGGTCTTGAAAGATTTCAAAGACCCTTTCCCCCCACACCCTCTTCCTTCAAGTTCATCAGCTGAAAGAGAAAGTTGGGTAGGGGGGAGTTTGTTTTGGAAACCATCCTCCCTTGCTGAAGCTAGCCTGTTAACATGCAACACTGCTTGGGACATTCCCTCCTTCACTTAAGGTTGGGAGGGAAGAGGAGAGATTTGGCTTATGAGTTCTCTACGTTTATGTCAGGAGGGCGGATTTTTAAACTATTTAAAACTTTTATGAATACCTACTTCATGTAAATGGATTTAGTAACTTATCTGTACAATGTCAGTTATAAGTTACACCTCCACTCCAATCCCATCAACGAAGATGTTAGGACTCAAAGTTCCTCAAATGCTGCAGGCTGCAAGTGGGGAAAAACCCTGTTCGCTCTCCCTTTCAACATCGACTCCCTGCCACCGTGTGATACATGATACTGGGCAAGATGGATCTATGGTCTGACCCACTAAATGGTAATTCTTGTGTTATTATGAGCCCTTTCAGATATCCTTCTGGGAGACCTAGGAAAGAGTGGCTTTCATACCTGATGTTCTGAAGAGCTTACTAAGATAAGGTAAGATGTGTATATACAGTTAAAACTAATGAATCACCATTAGGTGCTTGCATCTGCAAAGTTACAAAGACAGCGGTGCATGAGTCAAGTCACCCTGGTGCAACTTCCCTCCATTTCAAACAAACCATGGAGGTAAAAAGCAATGGTGGCCAGTCAGACCTGTTCTTACTCATCAAGCATAAATCCAACCCCAACCTTATGATTATGTGGGGTTACTGAGATATTACAGGAATGGGTTATTCAGAAAGCCAGTTGGGGGGGTGGGAAATCAAGGCTACTAATCATCTCTTCTGCAGTAGCTTTCAATACAGGTTGGCTGACCTCCTACATCAGGCTTTAAACTAAGTACGATGGGGGACAGGGAGGCAGGAAATGGAGAGAGTCTAGAACCTACAAACTGCGAGACATGC